AAATGGAACACCCTGTATATTTTACATGAATCGGATGCACAATTTAATTGCCTATCAAATTGTATTATATATTATAGAAATGCCTCCAAACCAAAGTAGTATTTTTGACAAATAGATTTTTACAAAATCTGTCTCCTAAACTTCCATGTGTCATGAAAATATTTTAATTACACTTCTAAAGGTATAATTTAAAAATATAGTGTTAAATTCTCCTATCAAAACAGAGCAAGTTTATAATCAATTAAAAATTAAAATTAAACAATTAAAACAACATTTTTTTTAAATAGATTTGTATGTCTGGAAACGTTCTATCCCTTTCTAATCTTTCTCTAATTAGTGTATTTTTGACACGTTTTAAGTCAATTTTTAGTAAATGATGCCTAGAGTCCGCCAAAATTTTCATTTATTTTATTATTCCCAGCCGTCCTTGACGCCATTTTTTCAAATCGTAGTAGTATATAAACTTAAAGAAATAATGTCCAACCAAAGTTTTGATGAATTATATGTCTAGAGCCCTGGACTAATAAATTATTGTTTAGTTTCCCAAAATAAAACTTAAGACAACATACAGCTTTTATTGTAACCCTCAAATTTATAAAAAAGCGAAAATAAACGCGTTGGCACGAAATGGTTATACAAACGAGACAGATACAAATAATTTACAAAAGTATGAAATGCGTAAAAGTGTCGTGTATGTGTGCTTTTTAAATTTAGGTTTTAAAACTATTTTTAGATGGATAGTTGCAATAAAAAAATGAACTTATTGTTTTCTCATGCTACAAAAAATAATCCGTTTTTGCAAGGTCAATTCTATTTAAGTTTTTGCATTTACTGGCTTTGTCCTATAATGTACAGCGTGTCCCAATATTCCGTGGACATACAACTACTACATTTTTGGAATGGAAACAAGTTCACTGGACACAAATCTACCTCTATAAAAAATGCTTCGTCTGTCCGCTAGAGGGTATCAAACTTTAAAAAATAAACAAATTTTTTCAGATATTTTAAGAACCGTTAACCCTATTTGAATGAGATTTTGGGTGTCTATGTCTTGCTAAGTGCTTTATCATTTGACTGAATTGAATCCGTTGGGCAAATTTATTTATTACAGTGTTTTACAAAAAATAACTATTATGTTTTGTAGATTTTCTTACAGTGGCGAAATATCCATTCTTTTTTGAACAGATTAATCCACCACAGAAGCATAGACATTTTTTAAAATGTAGTTTCGTCTCCCTTTATGTCTTTGATTCCAACGCCAGTGGCATTTTAATAAAATAACTTGTTTTTTTTTTAGATTTTTCTTCAGTGGTGGAACCCAGCCTTTTTCCAGAAATTATAATTTAAATTGTTAAAATCATATTCAAACAAACTAAAAACAACGAAAAAATTGGTTAGAATGTTAGAGAAAATAAAAAAAAACAACATGTAAAAAGCGCTTTTTATGGTTAAATTATTTAGCCAGATAATACATTTATATTTCCCAACAATACCTTTATTAACACTTAAAAACATACCACATATGAATTATTAACTTTATATGATTAATATTTCGTCCTATTGCTGCCAAAAGTCACTAACTAACATTTTTCCGAACAACCAAATTCAATCACTAACTATGTTTTGAATCGGAGAATCGATTGCAAAAGTCATTAACTACGATTTCTGGCTATTTATGTTTCATTTTAATACCGAATAGTTACTGACTATAACATCTTTATGCAATGCAATTCATCTTTAGACGCATTTTTCTCGGAAGTAATAAAAAGTAAGTTAGTGACTTTTGGCAGCAATGGGACGATTTCTTGATAATACGGTTGTAAAGAAACAAATTAGAGTAAATATTGAAAATATATCAGCTCATGCCATATCAGCCTTATCTAAGCCATTCATCTAAACACCCAGGACGAACACATCCATGCGCAATCACATGTCATTTTAGGTTGTATATATTAAAGTGTTGTTTCTCAACTTCCTAACAATATAACATAGTAATAAATTTAGCAAATTAAATTTATTTTGTCATGAACAAAAGTATTTCATTCCATCTCTAACAAAACTTTATAAAAGCATTACCAAATAATTGTTACATTTACTTAAAAATCATTCAAAAATATATTTTATTGACTCTGAATTTTTGATAATATTTCTAAAATGTCTGTTCCTAGTATCTTTCTAAAAAAAATTACAAGCAACTTTTCTATCCGATACTTTTCAATATTTTGTCACTTAAATACACTTTTTACATGTTTAAAGGCATTTTTGTAGATTGCCACTATATCAGTCCATGACATCTATTTTTTTTTGATGGAGCATGCTGGTTTGATTCCTTTTCAAATTTGAGTTTTTTTTCAAATTATTACAACTATTAGGTAATCCTAAAGATAAAACACCTCCACTGGAAAGGTCGAGTATTTATGAGAATTATTAGGGGAAATATTGCAATCAGAAATATGGTGGACAAACCAGATCAATATTAACTAAATTTAAGAACATATGGTTCACATAAGATATGGTAGACTGGATATATAGTCTGTGAAACGACTAACTTTGAATTTGACAGTTCCCGCGGGCTTTTCTAGTGTTAATTTTATTAGGTTAGCAGCTTGCGGCCATGCTGACGCAATGCCGTCTCTAATAGAACAGCCTCGGAGCGAGATTTATGACGTCACGCTAGTTAGATATTACGGATTAATAAATATATTGAAAAAAATAGTGTCGAATAAAATCCAAAAAATTACATATAAAATATTCACAACCTAACCTAACACCACATAATGTTTACTGCAATTAATAAACTAATATAAACTTCAAACAAAGATGACCACATATTTTTAAAATTATTCTTAACACTAAAACTATCTACATTGACTATGGCTGAAATCGTACTCCATAGTCAATGTAGATAGTTTTAGTGTTAAGAATAATAATTTTAAAAAAGATATGTGGTCATCTTTGACAAGTGTATATTAGTTTATTAATTGCAGTAAACATTATGTGGTGTGGTGTGAATATTTATATGTAATATTTACATATAATGATTATATTCGACACTATTTTTACTGCATTACACAACACTGATGAAGGCTATAATGTTAGCCGAAACGTTTTTTTTAAACCAAATAAAAATAATGAAAAACCAGTTGAAAACTTAATCAGCGTTTTTTCCGAACCTAAATCCCAAGAAAATCAAAAATTTTAGAATAATTTTACATATAAAATGACAGCGACCTTTATTTCATAGCCATCGCTGACGCCTTTTTTTCTATGATATTGTATTATCTGCAAATATAATTTTTCGAACATTGATACTTGCAAAATATACATATAAATTTTGTGAATGCAAATAATAATACATCACTATTAGTAGATATTGAATGTTTTTTCTTAAATTAGATCGATTTTCAAACCCGAAAATTTAAAATATATTTTACATTTTACACATTATCTTATGTACCTATTCATTATTTGTATATTGCAAAACATTTGCTGCATTTGTATGATTCATAGTTTATTTGCCAAAGTATTTATTACTATAAATAGGTATATATTATATTGTATTTATTAACTGTATATTATGTATATTTCATTTAAACTATATCATTTTTAAAATACAAACCAAAAATACGAGGAATAATTATGTTTTCCATGTATTTTACAACATATTTATTAATCCTTAGTATCTAACTAGCGTGACGTCATAAATCTCGCTCCGAGGCTGTTCTATTAGAGACGGCATTGGTCTGATATTTAAAAATGTCAAAAGCTGATGACATTTTACTTTTGACAATTATAACATTTTGTGTTGATTTTTGCAAAAAGAGGAAGAACTGTCACTTGTTTTATTATTTTCCTTTTCTATTTCACGAAAGTAAAAAGAGTTACCTATCTGATTTGTTCAGGCACTCAATTTAAAGAATATCAGTAAATTTTTTAAAAGAGGGATTTTATATTTGCCATGTTGGTATAAAATAACGGTCAAAATTCAAAGTTATTCATTTTATAGACTATATCATGCGCTCCTCAACATATTGTTGATGAAGAAAAGTTTAAAATTAATTAAAAAAGTTTCAAATTACAGGCAATTAGATGCATATGTGAGCGTCATAGGGATAATGGTCCAGTTCCTTTCAGTTCTCTGTTCCTATTCCTCTAGCTTTGGTAGTTACCTTAGACAACTCTGGTCAAATGGTTCCACCATGTTTCAAACGTATCGGTCCTTGAAAAAGCTAGTTGCGAGAGCGCTAAAGTAATGATTACTAAATCCCGCTTGAGCTGGGCTGGTCACGTATGTAGGATGCAAGAAAACCGCCTACCAAAATCTGAAAGGTGAACTTGTAGGCGGTAAGAGGAAACCGGGTGGCCAATTCAATGGGTACAAGGATATTTTCCATGAAAACTTAAAGGGGATAAGCATGCAGAATCAGCGGGAAGCAGGGCACAATAGAACGCAATGGAGAAGAATTGTTAACAGCGACAATCAAAAAGTAATGAGGCAATAAAGCAATAAAATTTTTGAATGTCCGAAGTGCGGAAGAGAGATCAGGCTTTTCAGTCACAGAGAAGCTCATGAAAGAAAACGCCTTGCGTAATCATCTTCTGATGCGTGTCAAATATTCGTCAGCGAGTAATGGCAGTAGTAGTCTTCTCGCTTGAAACGCTCAATTTGTAGATATTAGTTTAGTTTTAATCATCTGTTGATGATGCTAACATGGTTAGCGAAACGCGCGTCCAGTGCAAAAGTAAAGTGTTTTGGTGTATTGTGGTGAATTAGTATTATATTTTGCGGTTGTAACACCAAAGGTTCCAACCCTCAACTGTAACCATTAAAGATTAAGACATCATCAAAACTAAAGATCTGATATGTCCCACATCAAATTTTAGAATCATTCCAAGTAATGTTGAGTTCCCCCCTATGCTTTAATACTTATTCTTTACATCTGATTATAATATATACAACCTACACATGTTACTTACTCCCTCCTTATATATCTACTAACCAATATCTTGTACATAAAACAGCAAATTACCATGACAGTTTCTTTCTCTTCTCGGGGACTCGGTTTGGCCAAGTCCCTCTTGTTCCTCTCCAACTCAATGATGGCGGCCGCCAGCACTTCGATCACCTGCTCGTAGGTGATCTGGACGCCGACGTGCAGCATCTGGGAGAACACTTGGGCGAACCTGAGCAAGTCTTTTACCACAGAAACGTGGTTCTCCTGGCGGAGCTTGAGCGCGTGCGACCACAGTTCCAGACACCTGAAAAATTGGTGTAGAAAGGTGTAGAGTATCAATGTGATGGGAACATTTATGCACCACAGTGTTACTGATCATATATTATACAGGGTGTTTCAAAAAGTGCCATCTCCCGTGGGGAGATTCCTCATGTAAAGATAAAATTTATTTCTTATATCAACGTAGAGATAAGCTTTGATAACGATTCTGCTTTGTTAAGCGAGGTTCTTAATTTTTTTCGATTTATTGTAATTTTCTTCAAAGTGCTTTTAGCGCTTCGAATGCAATTTTCAGTTAAAATTTTAAAAACTAAATAAAAAATTGTTAAAATACGAAGATATTTTTTTGTAAATAATATTTATATTCTTGTTTCCATAGCAACTGTTAAAATTGCCGCATACCTATCTATCAAAAATAGTATACTTTAACCGCAAGGGTAGATTAAATGATACTTTAACAGCGAGGATAGGTTAAAAACTTTATTTTTTCTCGCACGTTTTTTAATTGCTTCCATTTTTGAAAATTTTTGTATTCCTTTTCATAAGTTATTCGGGATTTAAATGGAAGTAGTTTGGATAAATATGGCGTTTGTCGTCTCAGCCTGAATATTTGTTGGTAATTTACATATTTCGTTTTGAGCCATTTCTGGCTCCAATTCAATCACCAATCGACACGAAAGAGAATTAAAAAATATTGACTCAAAACTGACAACTAAAGAGACTGCTTCATTTATTTGTCAAATTACATAAAAAAACAACGCCAACCCAGCACAATATTTTTTCTACTCATAATAAATTCGTTGAAATAATAATTTCTGAATATTTTTTAAAACGTAACTCGCTATGGAAAAAAATATATTAAATTATTAAAAATTAAGCTTTTAAATAAATAATACATATTATTAAAAATTATGCTTTTAAATAAAAAAGTTAAAAAAAAAAGATTTTATTTTTTAGAATTTCTAAAAATTTTCCCGGCCAAAATTGAGCTTTTTTCACTTATTCCGAATTGAAAGATTTTTGGGCGTGGGTCGATGCAGATTGATTAGTTAAAATTTTTAGTATACACAGTTTGTCAAAAAATTCATACAGAGAGAGAAAAAAATAAAAACCGATTTTTTCACCACTTGGCTGATAAATTAAAATCTACTTTAAATCAATAAATCTCTAAAACTACTGAACTAAAGTACATAATATCATATCATTAGAAGGGAATTGAAAGACCTTTCACATGAGGTATCACTCGGCCCCCTTTCTATTAAAGAATTTAGGGGTGGCGCCTCCCCCGCCTTGGGGGTTGTAGGTGTAAAAGTAATTTTATGATATATTCTTTTCCTCCTCGAAAACTAAATCGACGTGTCCGGGCGTTTTTCCAAATTTTAATTTTAAACGAGAAAAATTGGGGTGGAAAGTTTCCATTGGCCCACCCTGTATAGTGAAATTTAAAACTAACTATTTTATTTTCAAAATCTCATTCAAGTTGGAATAAAGGTTCTTAAAATATCTGAAAAATGTGTTTATTTTGATAAAGTTTGATGCCCTCTAGCGGACAAAGCACTGTTGTATAGAAGTAAATAAGGTCAAATAAACTTATTTTGATTCCAAAAATATGTAGTTATTTGGAACACCCTGTACCTATATTAAAATTTGTAATACAGTAAACTGTTGTTACTGTAAATATGATAAAATATTAAATACCTTTTTTCATATAAACAAATAATTACACTTACAATTTTAAATTAAATAAAAACATGTTTGTTTACCTTTCAAATCTAGCATTATCAGCAAAAACAGCACCCCTATATATTATAGGATGTGTCAATTCTGGATTGTGCACCCCCAATATCCTTTCCCTTATAGTCAGAGCTTCCATGTGCAAACTATTGTTATTTCCCTGAATTGCCTCCAGCTCTGCCACAGTCTGAGTTTCAACCCAATTATCGTAAGCCTTTATTGGCGGCAAAGGCTGTTTCCTAATAACATTATTAGGATCACTAAACCTTAATGTCATAGACCTGTGCATATATTTATATGCTTTTAAAATATCATAGTTTTCTTTATCATTAGCATACGAAGCTCCTAAAAGTTCCAGAGCTTCAATTTGTTCCTCTTTACTAATTTCAGGTCTGTCAATTAAATATTCTACCACTCTATGTCTTGTTCTTTCAGCAGCTGATCTGATAGGAGTCATGCCAGTGTCATTTGTATAGAACTTGGCTTCGTAGGTCAATAGTTCTTTGACAACTGCTACATGACCACATTCTGCTGAGAAGTGCAAAGCTGTGGCTCCACACAGAGCCTTCTCGTTAGGATCAGCACCATTTTGTAACAGAAAATTAACCTAAAAAAATATACATAGTATATACAAAAAACTAGGTAAATGCAATAAGAAAGGTACTCACTACATCTAAATGTCCTTTGTAAGCAGCTATCATCAAACAAGTATTATTATATTTATTCGCTATGTGTATGTTGGCTTGGTGGCATGTTAAGTATTTGACAATATCGAGCCTTCCATCAAAACAGGCAGCTCTGAGAGGTGTGGAATTTGTTTTTGTAGGATGGTTTACATCTGCCCCTGCTTTAACAAGGAGTTTAACAATGTTCAAGTGTCCTAAAATTTTTACATTCTCACAAAAATATTAATTTGAAGAGATTATTATCGTACCTGCACAAGCAGCACACCACAAAGCTGTAGCTCCTTCAATAACATAACCATCAAATTTAACGGTGCCCTCTTGCTCTATGTTGGGCTCAAACTTAGTTAAAAGTATCTGAACTACCTTGTCATGGCCGTTTTTTGAAGCCACAATTAGGGGACTACATTCTTGACCATTATCATCAGCTACACTCTACAGTTAAAAGAAAAATAATAAACATTCGACTATTGTTAATACAATAATGAATTAACACGTTAAGAAACAAAGAGCGGCGTGTTGAGAACAAAGACAACAAAGAGTAGGTGTAAATATAGCTCGATAAAGTTAAAAATTACCTCGTTAAGAAGCGAATTTGCTTCAGACGGATCCAGTTTTGATAAAACAGTGTATAGGATAATAGGCATTCCATCTTTAGCAGCGAAATAAACAATGTCTTTTACTTTGTCTCTGTTCTCGTTCATTTTTTGTGCATCGCAATTCAGCAGGCACCTTGCATCGTAGATTGCTATTTTCAACTGTGTTGCGGAAAAATCAAAATAGAATTTTCCCGTTCTGCGAATTTTTCTTTTTGACGTAAGACGTAATGCAAAAGGGCAAAAAACCTTGGGAAAAGTCAAAGTGAATTGGGAGCGTCTATCTGTACAACCAACAGATTTATTCCGAATTTGAATATTCGTAGGTGGAGTCTATAAATAAACAATAAAAATAGTTGTATTGTTGGAAATTATAGAAGGCTAAAGCTTACTTATAAATGTGAAATAGTCCTAATGTATTTACTTCCAAATTTTGCTTGTTAAAACAATGTGAATAAAATATAAAATATTTTAAAAGTATTTTGTTAGTAAATAATATCGGGTATATAACAACTTCCAATTTCTCGCGTACAGTCAGCTGATTTGAGGTTAACATTTGAAAACATTTTTAAACGGAATACTATAAATAAATGTTTATTAAAAATAGAAGTACTGTTAAAAAAACTTCTAGGTATATCGATTAAATTGTAATTATGTTCATTTTATGCGACAAATTAAAATGTTTTTAACTTTAAACTGACGCAACCAGTTATACACGTGTGTAGTGTGTGTAGTCTAGTGTGTATTATAAGAGGTGCCGTGTATAAGTACCAATCAAAATAATTTGGAAGATTTTTGACTGTCCCTCGTATAAAAAAGAAAACAATGCATTCTTGAAAGGTAGGTATGGTAGGTATGCAGGTATGGTACCAATGGTACCGAGGTGGGAGTGCTGCTGCTGAGTAGTCCGAAAGTTTGGGTGTGCTGGACGAGTACCAGCAGCTGGCGCGTAACCTATTTATGGCTACCATTTAACCTTTCAATTAAAATGCCAGTAAATAGTACCCGTGCGTAGTACCACCGCGGAAAATGGGGTCCAAAATCGAGTACGTGGACTCGTCGCAAATTTACGCGACGAACTATGTGAGAAACTCGAAAGCCATAGGGGTCTTGTGGGCTATTTTTACCATTTGTTATGCTATCATCATTGTGGTGTCTTTTATCACTCCCGAATGGATTGGTAACTTGGAGGGTGATAGTCCTGGTAAATTTGGACTGTGGTCTGTGTGCTACGCTGATGAAAACGGGGAAGTTTGTAAAGGAAGGTAAGTGGTTTATCAAATCAATCAAATTTGGGTTACCTTTTGTTTTACCGAAAATCCATTTTGTTAGTAAGAAATGGTACCTACTTTCATTTAGTAGGTACATCATTTGATTTCGTTAATATAATTTTTTATGTAAACATAGAAATGGTTATACTCAACCAATGCCTTCTATTAAAAGATCAGCCTACGGGCGAGATATATGACGTCACGCTAGTTAGATATAACGGATTAATAAATATGTTGTAGAATACATGGAAAACATAATTATTCCTCAGATTTTTGGTTTGTATTTTAAAAATGATATAGTTTAAATGAAATATACATAATATACAGTTAATAACTTCCACTAACATATATATACCTATTTATAGTAATAAATACTTTGGCAAATAAACTATGAACCATACAAATGCAGCAAATGTTTTTACAATGTACAAATAATGTATAGGTACATAAGATAATGGGTAAAATGTAAATATATTTTAAATTTTGGGGTTTGAAAATCGATCTAATTTAACAAAAACATTTAATATCTACTAATAGTGATGTATTATTATTTGCATTCACAAAATTTATATGTATATTTTGCAAGTATCAATGTTCGAAAAATTATATTTACAAATAATACAATATTATCTAAAAAGGCGTCAGCGATGGCTATGAAATGAAGATCGCTGGCATTTTATATGATTAAATTATTCTAAAATTTTTGATTTTCTTGGGATTTTTAGGTTCGGAGAAAACGCTGATTAAGTTTTCATTTGGGTTTTTCATTATTTTATTTGGTTTAAAAAAACGTTTCGGCTAACTATAGCCTTCACAGTGTTGTGTCATATGAGAAAAATAGTGTCGAATATAATCCAAAAATTACATATACAATATAATTCACACCTCATAATGTTTACTGCAATTAATAAACTAATATAAACTTATCAAAAGATGACCACATATTTTTAAAATTATTATTCTTAACACTAAAATTATCTACATTGACTATGGAGTACGCAGTAAACATTATGTGCATGAATTGTGAATATTTTATATGCAATTTTTGGATTATATTCGACACTATTTTTTTTCATATATGACACAACACTGATGGAGGCTATAATGTTAGCCGAACCGTTTTTTTAAACCAAATAAAATAATGAAAAACCAAATGAAAAATCAATCAGCGTTTTCTCCCGAACCTAAATTCCAAGAAAATCAAAAATTTAGAATATTTAGAATCAAGGTTCAAAGAATATCAAATTTTCCAAGATTGTAAAAATTCTAGTTAATTATTTTATGTGTACAGTTATTTAGGGAATGGCATCGATGTTCATTTCCAAGCCAACTAGACGCCGATTTTTTCGATGATACGGTATAATTCTTACGTAAAATGTAAATAACATTAGACCAATTAAAACAAAGAAATATGAATTTCTTAGTATTTTTAGTAACACCTTTATTCTTAAAACTTAATTTTGTATTATGCAAATATACCAATTTTATTGTTATTTTATTCATATTGTATTCAGCCATCACTTAAATATTTGATATTAATTTGGTATTATAAATAATCAATACTATTCATTAAAATTACTGAACAAATATATGTTATGCTTAACATACATTATATATTATCAAACAAAAACACATTCTTCTTTTAAACTGTATCAGTCTTGTCTTTACAAAAATCTTTTTTAAAATTTGAACTCAAAATAATAATCTTTTTCATGATCTCTAATACACATATTCTTTATTTTTCCCTAGATCATAATACCTACTTAAGTGTTTGAATCTATCGAAGCTGAACCAGCAACACTTGGAGTAGAGATTCCACAATATGAATAAAATAAACATAATTGTCCAGTTTTCATTAATACCATCATGGGAGAATATTATTTTTAAATTTATTAAAGATATTTTCAATAAAATTCTCTTGATTTATAACTCGTACCCACTTTTCTTGCTCTTCCGGACACTTTAGGCTGCCTAGTATAATAACTATCCTTAGTAACTATCCTTTCCACCAGGAACACAACAAAGATGAGGCATAGCACCAATAACACACTCCACTTAAGCTTTATTGATGAATTGTTAGAGTCTTAAAAAACACACACAAAAATCACGATAAGTAAAAAATGTATGGGCACTTTTAGGTTAAATCACTTGCACAACGTGTAATTTTTAAAATTTCTATTTTTTTATGCGAAACCGAGAGTGACCATATATCTGGTAGTAGTTTATGTACTTCAACACCAAAATAATTAGTTTTTTGCACTACAATAATAAATAATACCAAAAATCAAAGAGTTAAAACCAAAAATCAACCGACAAAATATGAAACGGAATCTAACCCAATATCTAAGTATGTACAGCTGATGAAGTAAACAAAAGTCCGCCCGCAGGCTGATCTTTTAATAGAAGGCACTGACTCAACCAACTGACCCATTTTTAAAATTTTCAATGGAGATTATGATGTTTATAGACAGTGGCGCATCTAAAAAGATTGACTCTGGATACTTTTTTTAGATAATAACTAAAACTACCAGATTTAAATTAAAATTTTCTTTGAAATGTATTGTGATTGTGGACAAAAATAACCTTCGATTGGCCTGGATTATGTATTTTGTTTGCTATCATTAATTTCTTTTGTGGCAATTTTATTTTATACCAAATTTTATCTTTATACATAAATTTCTTTCTAGGGGGGGGGGGGGTAATTACCCCCGTTACCCCTCCCGTATGTGCGTCACTGTGTTTAGAGGTATTTTTTTTTTTCAAAAAACTATAGGTTATGGGTACCAAATGGATACCATACGTTGGAAAAAAAAACGGCGTCAAAAACGGCTGGGGAATGACAATCCGCGATAATTTTGTCGATGTCAAGCCCTAGAAGTCCTTTACTTGGCCAGTACCCCGTACTCTTTTTTTAATGGTGCTTATAGTGTCAATTCGCCTGAAGAAAGTTATAATTTATTTTTATATTGAGTAAAAATGATCTTTAAATGGTGTAGTTTAAAATTGGAGAAAATATAATTTTTTGGAAATGCATAATATAGTTCATATGAAATAATTTTTTTATTCACGTGATTAAGCTTGACAGGCACAGCGTTGCCCACTTTTACACATCTTTTCTTAATCAAAATATTTTAGGAAACAAAAATAAATTAATTATAAATATATAAACAGTTATTATTTACATCAATAAAACTCACTTTCTTAACAGCACTTATGGGACATAAAGGGCCATTACCAAGCTCCGTCACGTTGGAACCCGCTTTCAAGTAAAGTTTTCGATTTTTGGCTTATTATTAACTACAAAAACGGTGCAATTGATTGTATTAATTCAATTTTTTTGTATAGTACTAATAATTAGCCAGAAAAAGTAAACAATTGTGCGCAATGTAATAAAGAGAAAAAATATTGTTTTAACAAAGGTCTAAAAACCTTCAAAATCGTTTGTAGTTTTATGTAGTAGCAAACAAATTGAATAAAAGATTCTTGGAATTAGTGAATTATAGTAAAATTTGAAAATTAACATAGTTTGACATAATGTCTTTAGTTGTACGCAAACTACAAACGATGCAATTGATTGTAGTAAATTCAATTTTTTTGTAGTACTAATAATTAGCCAGAAAAAGTAAACAATTGTGCGCAATGTAATAAAGAGAAAAAATTTTGTTTTAACAAAGGTCTAAAAACCTTCAAAATCGTTTGTAGTTTTATGTAGTAGCAAACAAATTGAATAAAAGATTCTTGGAATTAGTGAATTATATTTTATAAAGGCTGTATAAACATAGTTTGACATAATGTCTTTAGTTGTACCTCAATTCATATACGATGCAATTGATTGTAGTAAATTCAATTTTTTTGTAGTACTAATAATTAGCCAGAAAAAGTAAACAATTGTGCGCAATGTAATAAAGAGAAAAAATTTTGTTTTAACAAAGGTCTAAAAACCTTCAAAATCGTTTGTAGTTTTATGTAGTAGCAAACAAATTGAATAAAAGATTCTTGGAATTAGTGAATTATAGTAAAATTTGAAAATTAACATAGTTTGACATAATGTCTTTAGTTGTACACAAACTACAAACGATGCAATTGATTGTAGTAAATTCAATTTTTTTGTAGTACTAATAATTAGCCAGAAAAAGTAAACAATTGTGCGCAATGTAATAAAGAGAAAAAATATTGTTTTAACAAAGGTCTAAAAACCTTCAAAATCGTTTGTAGTTTTATGTAGTAGCAAACAAATTGAATAAAAGATTCTTGGAATTAGTGAATTATAGTAAAACTTGAAAATTAACATAGTTTGACATAATGTCTTTAGTTGTACACAAACTACAAACGATGCAATTGATTGTAGTAAATTCAATTTTTTTGTAGTACTAATAATTAGCCAGAAAAAGTAAACAATTGAGCGCAAGGTAATAAAGAGTAAAAATATTGTTTTAACAAATGTCTAAAAACCTTCAAAATCGTTTGTAGTTTTATGTAGTAGCAAAAAAATTCAATAAAAGATTCTTGGAATTAGTGAAATATAGTAAAATTTGGAAATTAACATAGTTTGACATAATGTCTTTAGTTGTACACAAACTACAAACGATGCAATTGATTGAAGTAAATTCAATTTTTTTGTAGTACTAATAAATTAGCCAGAAAAAGTAAACAATTGAGCGCAAAGTAATAAAGAGTAAAAATATTGTTTTAACAAATGTCTAAAAACCTTCAAAATCGTTTGTAGTTTTATGTAGTAGCAAAAAAATTCAATAAAAGATTCTTGGAATTAGTGAAATATAGTAAAATTTGGAAATTAACATAGTTTGACATAATGTCTTTAGTTGTACACAAACTACAAACGATGCAATTGATTGTAGTAAATTCAGTTTTTTTGTAGTACTAATAATTAGCCAGAAAAAGTAAACAATTGTGCGCAATGTAATAAAGAGAAAAAATATTGTTTTAACAAAGGTCTAAAAACCTTCAAAATCGTTTGTAGTTTTATGTAGTAG